TCACGAGAATATGCCCTAACATGAACTCCCCTGCACATATCCCTGGCTCCTCCTAGAATGCGACCGTCAATCATTTTGAATCTCGATAGAAACTGAACGAACAATGGCACACAACACAGCTCCAATAAACACAAAGGCTACCACACGTGACACAGAAGTCAGAACATGCCCTACCAACCCCCCATATTCCTGGTTCCACCAAGAATGCACGGCAAGCAATAATGAGTACGGGAAGTGCTACTACCGGCCCGGACAACCCGGACAGCAAAAGTATATATAACCACCAAGGGACTAATTATACCTTATGGGCTGCCGCGAGTATAATTCCTGTATCTGCTTTGCTTACTTTCAGCTTTATTCCCTAACCAGATAAGATCGAAAAGCTTAATGTAGTACTCTTATGACAACACGATGGTTATTTGGTCATATTCACTAGTATGGATAATATGGATAATTACCGATATTGTGGTAATCACAATTATTTTCTATAGAAATTTTTCAGGAAAAAGGACGACAGATTTAATGAAGGATATTCAACTCGAAATTATCCTGGTAACATCAGCCGCCCTATCTGACAATGGTGGAATATACCTGCACGTAATAATCGGCCTTCTAATCATCCCAGCCCTTCTCAATCGTAGCAAAAGGCTTTCGTAGGCTTTTAAAACAGTTTAGACCCTAACACCTCACCATTTTAAATACTATTAACCCTTATCTCCCATCAGGTAATTACGAAGTGAGTACGACTCAAAAGAGAGTGAGAAGGTTGTGCAAAAGGTCCCCGTGAAAAAGTGAAGTCGGAGCCGCTGCAACTCACCTCCTGACGGAGCAGTCCTCAGTCCAACTATCCGTGTACGTTTCCGGGGTGTTGATGAGGGACTTCATGAAGCAGGTCCCACCACGTGGTCCCAAAAGCTGGTGTTAACACTGGAGAATGGAAAAGAGAAGAACAAACCCTTTACTCCAGGATCCAAGGACACTGTTTCAGAGTATTTACAGCGTATGGACAAGTTTTGGTTATTCCTGGCGTTGACGCAATGAATGACGATGGAGATTACACCTGTAACATATAATGCCTACAAACCCAATCTGAGAAACTCAAACCTCCACTGTTTTTATAGTTTTAGTAACACACAGTAATACATTGTAATACATGATATAATATATTGGGGTTTAACTATTGTTCACTAGAAAGAAATAAAATTATCCATATTGGGAGTTACTGATTCCCTATTCCTCTGAAAATGAAAGGTATTGATTAACCATTCCCGAATTACCGACAAAGCAAACAGCAGTGCACAATCTACTAACGATAAAGTGAAACGCCGAAAGGCCCTATTTAACTAACATATTCCCACATGATATGGCTCTGATTAGAGGTGTGTCGATATGGTCAAGTTCGGAGACAACCTGTACATTTTTTACTTTTTTAGAAGTGTGTGGTGGAGCCAGCTCAACACAGAATGAAACTCCCTGATTATATGGCTGACAAGACATTTTTCAGGACTTTCTCTGAGTAAAATAAAAAAATTAAAAGGTTGAACGGTTGAGCAGATACAGGTGGTATTAAACAAACCCTTGAAAGGTGGAGATTTAAGGTGGAGACTGGCTCTGGTTGAAGAAATTTTTGATTAAGGTGGAAAAGGTTATTGGTAACACAAACTACATCAAATTTGCAATCTGATGGTTTTATCAATGTTTTATTTAAGTGCTCAACCGAGGTGGAGAAATTAAATGCAAGTTTTTCAAAGCTGCTCAACCGGGGGTGGAGAAAGGATTAGAGAGTTCTAGGTTAGCTAGAAAGTTGCGTCTCGGCCTTTTCTACTTCCCGTTAAATTTTGTTTTTTCCATTGACGCTCAACAGGGTGGAGATCTTTCATTAAGAAACAGTAAAAAGCCTGTCAAACATGCCTAAATTCATTGATTTTATCACTAATTCTAATCTGCTCTGTTAACTGCTACTGTAGGGGATCATAAAACTGTTACCCCTTCTGTCTTAAAGCAAAGTGTTCTAGCAAATGAAAAAACTATCAAAGTTTTGAAAAGGTGCTCAACAAGGTGGAGAAATTGTTGATTAAACATTAAAACATTAAAAAATGTATTAAAACTGGCCCCACCGGGTTGAGTTAAGCTTTGGCAGTTGATTTCTGGAAGAAATAACATTGGGTGACCCTTTAGCATGTATACAACTCATCAAACTAGCCATCAACCACTCAACCGCGGTGGAGAACCTTGAATTCTGAGGTCAAATTTACGCCCAAATTTGCCAAATTTGAGTCTCCACCTATGTTGAGTGTACTTTTCAGCAAGGATGCCTTGTAATATGATTTGGTAGATGATTTAGAATCATTGGTATTACAAATGGACTGCCACAGTCACTCTACAGCTCCTAAACTACAGAAAAACAGATTTTGAACTGCATGTTATGCTGTCTCCACCTCGGTTGAGCCGATTTTGAGTATCCTATTCTGTGAAATATGATTGGTATAACCCATAATATTAAATATTAGGACTTTGGAGCAATTAAAAAGCATGAGAGGGTTAGTTCTAGTCACTTATATTAGCTCATGTAGTCAGTGAGCTGCTCCACCTGTGTTGAGCAGACAAACCTGCTCAACCGGCACTTTTTGAGTACCCACCTGTCTTACGTAACTTTAAATTGTGAAATTTGGAGTAAATTTTTTTTCATGAGTGATTTACAGCTCCTTTATGTTTGTAATTTTCAGGTGGCCACTGTCTCCACCAAGGTTGAGTTATTTAAATTTTGAACCCAGATATCATTATAGAAAGGTTAGGAGTATAATATCTGAAGAGCCTGTACCCCTTGGACTGTCAGAGGAATTATAATTAATTTTACCGTTTATGGCAGTGAAATGAGTGTAATTAGTGACTGATTTTATGTACAGGTTGTCTCCGAACTTGACCATATTGGGATGGTGTAAAGTTTGTCGAGATAGTACTTATTTATTGTGTGTCGAAATAATAATGTATATCTAGATAGGATCATGATGAAAGAAATACAAAAAACTCAGAACGAAATGAACTCGTCTTATTCAGCTTCAAGAGAGAAGAAAATGATCAGCAAACAATACAAACATTTACTTTAAAAGGTATGATTATCACTATAAAAACGTATATAAAAACGTACATAACAAAATAAATGCTACAACCAGAAAAAGAAATCTACAAAAATGTACCAACTCGTAGAAAACATAAGACGAAGTGTATAACATTAACAGCGTATAAAGCAGCTCTCGAAAATATGTACAATGCGGGGAATAATATGTCATAATAACTAATAAGTGCATCAAATATGGTAGCACTTATAACGCTAAGTAATATTAAACACACTGCTATATAGCATATCATTACATAGTCCACTGATCTAAAACAACCCTAGCTAGATCTTCTTGGCAAGGGAACAAAACGCCTGTTTTCGTTACACATTGTAACCCAAACAATGTGATCACGTTCCAGCTGCAGCCAATCAGAGGTTACTATCAATGTCACGTGATCAAGCCATCCAACAGCAGCCAATCTGACTGATCTCACCAAATCAAAATAAACTCGACTAAATATACACTAAATATACACAATAACTCACATGTACGTGTTCTACTATCAGTGTACGCTTCATAACCCCTGTATAGCACTATAACTATATAGCTGTGTATGGTTCATGACTCCGTGTGTATACACGATATAATCCAACATTCCAATATCGTAATTATACGGTAGTTGACACTATATGACTATATACTGCACTAGATAGCGCACTGTATAACGCACTGTATAGCCGTATAGCGCACTAGATGTTGGCTGTGTGCCAACTACCCTTGCTACTTGATAAAGCTAATGAACTAAGTGGGGGGTCCCCTACCAGACTGTTAGAGATTAGAGCAGGCAGCTGTAATGCTGTTGAGCTTGTAGAATCGTATCAACTAGGAGCGTGTATTAAGGTAATTCTGACGGCTTTGAAGGATTTGTCGAATACGCTTTGATTAGAGAACTATTTAAAGAACTGCGATTCTAATCATTCTGGAACGGCAGCTAAAAATGTTGTTTTAAAAATGCAAACGCCGAGTACTGCCTCAACGCTGGCCGCATTAATTTCCAGAGCTAGAAGAAAATATCGTACGAGTGACATTATTAAGAAAATTAGGTGAATTTGGAAGTGGTTGGAAAATCGTCAGTTTCTGCAAATTCTCGTGAGGATATGGATGCATCAGTTAATTTTTCCTTTCACTATTCATTAATTGAACCTACCTGATGATAATGGAACAATTTCATCGAAAAGATGTTATAATTTAACCCGAAAATAACAAATAGCCTATTTTGATAGGCATCACATCCTGGGACCTATTTTATTGATATTTTGACAACATTTTCACACAATAATGTAAGATTAAACTATGAAAGCACATGATGTAACATTTGGAACCAGAGCATTTGAGCTATCAAAATAACGAATCGCGTGTTCTGAACATACCGTACATACCATTTGCATTAGTTAACATTAAAATTTACGATATAGCTGTGGTAATTACAGACTGTAGACCGTAACCTTTTTCACAGAGCTGTCACGAATCTTACTTTTGAGTTTAGTTGGATATAATAGCTAGTTAATTACACAAGATAACATTGTCCAATGTTGACATGCCTGTTAATTAAAACAAGCATTAACATGACTGTAACGCTAATGTACTAATCTCTGTAGTCTGTACTCAACCCATTACAATGCAGAATAGTTGTAACAAGATTGTCATCCCTCTTTGTAGCTGCAGATGAATGTTCAGACTCTAAACTGGACGAGTAACTGAAGTTCTGTCTACTTAAAAGATAGAGTCTAGGTAGTGTTTGAAAGTGCTTAAGGCCAGAGGGGGGGGGGGGGTAAATGGCACTTTTGTAGTTTTTGCATATTTGATAATAGCTACCTGAGACGAACAAAAAGAAAAAAACCGGATCAAAATCTAACCTTGCGCTTCTGAGATATCGCGCGCTCAATTTTGAGGTTTACCTGTAATTACATGTTAAAATAGAACTTTAAACGGCTGTAACTTTTTTGACCTTTCGATTCCTTAGTTGAGAAAACCGGCCAATCCCTGATCTTGAGGTTTGGTACAGTGGTTCCTTGGACAATTATCCTCACATCTGGTGCAGCGATTTTTTTTTATTTGACTCTGTTCTCAAATTATGAGGTTAACCAGGTCAAAAATTCGAAAAATTTAATTGGTTAACCTCATAATTCGAGAACTGAGTCAAATAAAAAAAATCGCTGCACCAGATATCTAGATAGTTGTCCAAGGAACCACTGTACCAAATCTCAAAATCAGGGGGTGGCTGGTTTTCTCAACTAAGGAATCGAAAGGTCAAAAAATGTGTTTTGAGATAGATGTAATTTAGTGTTTTCAAAATTTTGAATATTCACTGGAATGTATCACAGTTCGTTAGTTAGGACTTTTTATACACTTAATAACGTTTGCTTGATCAGACCTGGCCGTCCCCTAAATGATTTTAGCCACTTTCAGTAGTTAATGTCCTTGTATTGTAAAAAATGAGGTTAACCAAGACTTCCTGTAAACACTAACTGCTTAAAATTTGGTTGTTAACCTCGCTTTAGACCATATAACACTGGGATTGGTTTATCAATATGTTATTATATATGTAGTAAAACATTTGCACAGTATAACGATTAAGTTTTTGAGGTTAACATGTAATTGACTGGTCAGATATTCAAAAAATGAGAGGTTAACCTCATTTTTTAGCCATTTACGGGTAAAATCTTCTACTAAAATATGGTCAGTTCAAATCACCTTTGTCACGTGATTATAGTTGTAGGCATTGTGATACCAATAGATACCTCACTTCGATATTGTGGTACATTACATAAGTAAGAATCGTATGTATATTCCCTACGGTACCAAAATGTGATGGTTAACCTCATTTTTTTAATTTTCTCAAGATAAAAGAAAGTCAATCAACACATCATCTATTTAGAAATGTGTATACCGTAAACTTACGATGAAAATAATAACTCTATCATTTGATCTATTCTCGCTATATCTAAAAGAAGAGGTTAACCTCATTTAATCACGTTTGGATATTACTTTTTCTGATAATTATGAACCTAAAATGTAGAGTTTACATTTGCTGACCGAAATAACAAAAAATTATGGCGTGTAATAAAATCTGAACCTCAATTTTATTAACCTCAATGTTGTATAGTCAATTTTGTGAAAATCGGTTAACCTCAATTATAAAATAAAGTTAATCAGCTACAAATATGTGAGTAGCAGCAATGTTTTTGTCATCAAAAATTAAATCGATTTAGAAAATAATATTTTGGTAGAATTTTTTGACCCCTTACCCCCCCCTCTGGCCTTAACGTTTGTCTAAAAATAAAGTAAATGACAAATGTGTGGTATTGATAAATGAATAGTCTCCTGAAAGTATGGAAATGGTGAAAAATAGACAGGGAGAAATATTGACACACAAACAAAGTAAGGATTGTGCACTGTTGATCATTATTTCAATCTATAGCTTGTACGGCAAGTTAGACTAAGCAAACAATTTTAGTGCGCCAGACATCTTAAGTAAACAACAATGTTGTTTGTTTAATAAGTTTACAGAGCAGAATGTTTCAAAAAACATATCACCTGAATAAGCTACCAATCGAAATCATCCCAATATAGTGAGCGCGAACAATTAATGTAACTCGATAATTGTACGTTGTACGATACAAAGATTTAAAGAAGTGGAGCCAGATGCTATACCAAGCCAAGTCAGATTCTACAAGTAACACTATCTTTCAGTGAGCAATGTGAACTATGTCCAAGAGATGACACGTGACAGTCCAAACACTAACAGGCAACAGCTAGACAAAGCGGATAGACGACGAAGTGAAAAAGATCAGAATAGACGCGTTCCGTCATCTTCAAGGATCTGTCAGCCTCCAAGATGTAACGCTCATATCAGCTAGTGTAACGCTGTGTTACACCCGTTAATTCGCTGTAACACAAGTAGTATAGTACGTTACACAGAAAGTAGTGCACTGAATAATGTTCCAGTTTTGACGTCACACGTTACACAACATCAAAATTTATTCTCATCAACTGAGTATTGAGTAACATTCACATACAGTTCCTCCTAAACATGTATGCTGTACACGCTGCTGGTGTACGTTAAATTACGTGTAATGCTGAGGAGTTTTGTTGGTCATTGTCCATGTCTAGAAATTACACACCTCTTGAAGTCAGCTTGGAGATATTATGTGTAACTAGAAATGTCAAGGGAATTTCTTAACATTCAACACGAATGGGTGGGTTAACATGAATGGGCGTTAGATAACAGATATGGTCTTGGTACAGATCATGGGCTTTGGGTACAGATGGGCTTTCTTTTACAATATCAATTTGTGGTATTTACTTAAACTTATACTGGGATATCTCAGCCATTTCCACGATTGAATGTATATTCATTGTGTTCTCGAAAATATTGCCAATGGGTACAATTTTTTCCATCAAAAGAGAAACAGCTCATTGAATATTAATTTTATAACTCGCACATTTGAAAAAACATAGATAAGAATCATAAGATTTGTTCAGACTGAACAACAACTACAACACAGAAACAGCAATCATTATATATTATATTATATCAATAACCGAAAACAAAATGTCTCACCTGCAGAGAATTCCAACTTGTTCATCTCCCCAACACAGTCATGTAGAGAGGATATCATGGCGTTGTTGCAGATTTCCAATTGGGCGGAATCAGAAGGATCCAACTCCAAACTAACCTGATGTAAACACAGGGTCATTTACAGATTTGATTAATTTACAGATTTAATTAATTTACAGATTAATTAATTAATTTACAGATTTAATTAAGAGACATCAGTTAAATTTATTTAGTCTAATGTTTATTTTATCAAAGCCTCCTTTTCTGGTATCCACAAAACAAGCAGAGTTTGGGCGTTGCCTCCCTTACTGTAATTGCTATACAGTATACACATTACACATGACAATTTTTGGAGGTTGCAAACTAACATTAATGAAGCTTTGTAAAATAAACCTGTTGCACCATCCCAGACATGGTATCTTCGAGTAAACTGAGGTATCCGTTGACCTCTGCCAACTTCCGCTGCAAGTCGTTTATATTGTGACGAGATGCACTGAAAGTAACACTAATGTTAGTACAAAGAAATCTTGAACTCGATTATCTAAATGATTATCATTACATCTAACTTAAAAACCTGCCAAGCGATCTATGATCTAACATAGCTGTACAAGATGAGTATATAATAATACTATAATTAGGAGCTTTACCTACAAAAATATCTAACATTTTCTGTAATATGCATAACATTCTAGCTTAAGAAAGTAAAGAAATTTAAAATACTTTTCAGAGTTGTTTAAAGCAGGGGGACGGTATATTGTTTCCTCGAGTGACCGGGCCCACCTGTCCCGGTCATCAGCGTCAGCAGCTCTGAAGTGGAACGTTTTCCCTTCTACACTTATTGTAAATGTGCTGTCATCTGTATCGTCAATACCTGTGGAAGTTCATGTAAGTAATAATTAACTTATTGCTTAGTTGATAAGGAATTTGAGTTCCGTTTTTAAAATACTACAATGTTCCTTTTTTATACGTAAAGCAAAGGTTGAACCTGCAATAGAAATCAGCTCTAGATAAACAGATATACTGCACATGTTTTGTGGCACATTATAGAAAAATACTGGCAACATCAAATACTAACCAATAATTGCACCCTTTAAGAAGATTTTGCCACGCTTGATATCTTTCCTGACTTTCTCCTTACTGGTGTAATAATTAAGGCATAAGGTGTGCTCATCTAAGACAAAAAATCTTAGCTGCCATCCTTTCATCATGTTTGTCCATTTTGAGAGAGGCCCTTCCATAAACCTAAAGCTTGAAGTTTGTTAAAAACGATTAACATTTAACGCAGAAAGTTTAGCAAGCAGAGAAAAATGGTGAGCTAAAAATGTACAGTGGATTCCATTTTTGCGATATTGTTACCAGTGAGTGTCAATTACGAGTCTGGAAAATTTGTTTAGCACAAGGCCGAGACCCTTTAACGTATCCATAGTAAGTATTGTGACGATGTGACACCTCTAACACAGGAACGACTGAGGAAGAGGAAAGTGTTCACAATATCCAACTTAGCATAGTAAACTTAAAATATCTCTGGCTGTAGATTGACAATTCTGACGGTATTTATTAAATCAACTGAGAAACATTCGTGATTCGTCACTTGCTATTAAAACATGGGCACCTTCTTCTTCCTTAGACATCATCAATGTCGTGATCAAACCCCTTAATTGATAATTATGGACCTCCATGGTCTCTTCTGAAGCACGAATGACCACAATTTCTGAAGTCCAAGGAAAGTTCAGAATTTTCTCTAAACACTGAATTTTAAATTTTGTAAATCATTGGTTGTGATCCGGAAGCAGAGTTATGACTAAACGAAAATTGTAGGTTTTAAACACTGTGTAGTGGCATAACGTTGCCTGTCGCCAACATGCAACGTTGTTCCTCTCTGAGTCATGAAATAATTAATGTTTCTTGGACACTGCTTAGTTTATACAGGGTGGGCCAAAAGTCAGTGGGCATACGTTGGCCTTAATAGCTCAAATCGAAAAATATTCGAGTTCATTTTTTTCAAATGAAGGTTCATTTTTGCATTTATTTGATAGTTTGGATGATCGGATTGAGCTAAATTTTAAATTAAATTAGTGCTCATCGGTGGTTTTAATTTAATTTGTTTGTAGAAGTAACACATTTTATTTTGCTGTAGCGCTCGATTTCATGATTAGACAAGAATATGCGTGCGGCACAGCACCAGTGACCAGACACGTTAACAATTTAATTTGATATCATTTTATTTATAATTTTAGAATATATTTAAACGCAACAATCCTTTCTATTACATATGATATAATTATTCAAACAATATACACATAATATAGCAATGACCCTATATAAAATCTACCCAGATTTAAGAATTAAAAAAATTTCCTAACCAATCAAAAATTACCCTTGGCCTTGTGGCTCCAAGTTAAGATCTAGACTGTTTATATCAACAATGTTTTTTCTCGCACCTCTGTCTCCACAGAGAGAAATCACTGTTGTTCTTAGGATTTCAAAGCGAAGGCGCTTTCTAATGTATCCTACAGTATCCGAGTACCTCTGGCCAGTGTGGTACTCCATCTTACTGGCCAGCTCTTAACCAGTCTTTCAGCTTCACCACCCATTCCACCAGAAGTCGAGAAAACTAAAGGTGTGAAGCTTCTTTTCTCCACTTCAAGAACCCTTGCGTTGTAACATCGCTTTTTCTCATTTTCATCCTTTCTATTACTATTGATCAATGTTGTATCATATCGTGACCCCCATTCACAGGAGGAGCAAAGTGCAAAGAAACTGTTACTAACGGCTACTAACGGCTACTAACTGCCACTAACTGCTTAGCTACTAACATGTACTTACCCTTAAATATAAATACTAACAAGAATTGCGCCAGCGCCGGTTGTTTCGAATTTCGTTTTGGCGGACGCTAGATTTCCATTCCACACTTACTATAAATTTAAGTATAAGCTTCAATCAGCTCACTTCAATTTTCATGATAATAATACTTCAATTGATATAATTAGTCATCAAATACGGGAAACACTTGAAATTCAATTCAATTGCCGTAGAACTTAATTTGTATCTGTAATTCAAGAAATTGTAAGCAAATGTAAACTATACTAGTGTACACATCAATACACTACGCGTGCCACGTACAACTTGGGCTTATAACCTAATATTATACATTACATCGTATACATTAAAACACAGTCACGCCGCGCATTCATAAATCACAGGCTATTTATACATCACATCTCCGCAAGCAACCCTCGCGCGCGCGCAACTTTTCCGTTGCACGGTAACGGACGTAAGGAAAGAATTGAAGGAAGGAAACACGACATACTTAAACTAGGCCGTGCGCCATCGACCGTAAGACGCGCGCGCTGACCATTGAATAGTTTTTTAGCTCGTATTTCGGCCAGCTAGCACATTATTTCGGAAACAATCAAAAAGTTATGATACTTATAACAATTTTGTTGAAATTTGGTCAGCTTACGTAAACACTTATGTTTTACTAAACCTAAATTAGTTTGATATGAGTAATTTTGATGGTCAGAATTTGAGTTATCAACGAATTTATACCTATTTTGTCATTTTTAGACCTCTTAATCAAGGCCAATTTCTCCCAACTAATTAAAGTTCGGTAGTTAAGTATTAAACAGGATTAAACAGGATTAAACATAAATTTGTCAATGAGAGCCCTAACACTCACGTCTTGACTATACATCAATATAATAGAAATAAATAGATAAATAATGTGCAAGAGTTTTCTTAAAATAAAAATTTAAAAATCATAAAAATTTAACTTCGTCACATCTTTTGTTGAAAGAGAAACAAGTGCAAAGAAAATAATTTAATTCCCATGAACATGTTCCAAAATGATATGATATGTTGATCGTGATATGAAATGAAATGAAGCTCGACTTGACCGTCACGTGTCCGCAGAGGAGTTTTGTTGAGGTGTAGCGGGGACTTTACAGCTGGACTTCAGCAGATCTTTCTTAGTGACTTCCTTCTTCGGGAAACGCCTGTTGTTTGCTCTCACCAAGAACCTCGCTGTCTCTCTTATGAGGCTGGTATCTGTGAATAGCCCCTCTAAGTTAGCGAAAAGACAGGTTTTGGCTCTCTGACTAAAGCGGTGTCGGTAGTCTTCATACAGGGAGCAGGTCCGGAGGACGTGTACCTCATCTTCGATGATGGGGTCGAAGAATGGCATTTCTGCGAAATTTTCGAGCATGTCCATGTCCTCTGTTGAGCAAGCTTTACATATCCGAGGTACGATCTGGTTTCTTTTGTGGGTTCCATGACGTCCTGTCTCAATATTGAAATTGTGTGAGCTTGATCTGAATTGAGCCAGCTTTTTGGATTCAGCGTGCGACAGATTCATATTGAGGTACTGCTCATAGCCAAAACTCATCTTTATGGTGTTGTAGAACGTTAGTTTCTTGTTGTTCCATCTCTCAGTGTTCCATATCTGCCTGAAGTTGGAACGCATCGCTTCTTTGATTTGTGAAGGTGAGAGTTTTAGATGATGTCCATTGGGTTGGTTTAGAACCGACCGTGCGGTCTCGATGTTGGTGTTCCAAGAAAGACTGAGGCTGCGTTGCTCTTTGAAGGCATGTCGCACAAGACTGTTAGATCCAGCTTTCTCCATTTTATCTAATCTTTCCCAGTAGTTATACACTTGGGATGATAGCTCTATCGCCAAAGGGTAGCGTCCTGTGTCACCCCAAATTGCCGCATTTGATGTTTGTTTATTGACGTTGAGAGTCCACTTGAGAAACGAGATGTGAAGTTTTTCTAGTGGATCTTGCCTGATCTGTTTTAGGTTGGGAAAGTTACCCGATGAGAAGGCACCCATGAAGTATGTCTGAGGGAGCCAAATCTGGCATCCATAAGAGACTACTGGGACTATAAGTGCATCGAAGAGTTTAAATATTATCTCTTTCCTTATGTGTCGTAAGTCTATCATGCTTTTAAGCGAAAAATAACTCCGAAGTCCTTTCTGCCTAAGTTTGGACTGTGCGACCTTCAGGGATCCTGTCAGAGTGAAAGTCATTCCTAGGTACGTGTACTCACGAACTGAGTCGATCGGTGTTAAACCAAAAGCGAAGGTCTTGCTGTCTTTGAGTATACGACCAGCGCGGTTGAACACCATGATAGCGGTTTTAGACATGTTGACCACTAGGCCCCACTCCTGACAGTAGGCGTACAGAACAGAGAGCATTTTATGTAGGCTTTCAGGATTCAAAGCCAAAAGTACTAAGTCATCAGCCCAGAGCAGATGTGTCACCTTGATGGAGTTAATGGTGGGCACTTCGATGTTATCTAGCTCGTTCAGTTCTTCGGAGAGGGCATGTACGAAGCATTTGAACAGTTCCGGGGACATGGGATGCCCTTGTTCAGTTCCACAGAGGACGTCAATCTTCTCAGAGAGCTTGTTGAGGAGTTTTATTTTTGCAGATGAATGGGTGTACATGTGTTCCATACAATTGAAAAATCGCCCTTGAACTCCTAGTTTCCAAAGTTTGTAGAGTAGCGCTTCCCTACAAACAGTGTCAAAAGCCTTTGCATAGTCTACAAAGCAAGAGAAGACTCGTTTCTTTTCGACTTTAACATATTTTTCAATGCATGTTGAGAGCGTTAGTATTGATCTGCTGTTTGAGCACCCTTGCAGAAACCCAATTGGTTTGGAGTATCAGGGTTCACTACGGATCTAAATTCAATTAGTCGGTTGAGCAAAATTCCCGCAAAGAGTTTTCCCAAGTTGCTGGCCACTGCTATCGCACGGTAGTTGTTTGGGTCATAAACATTACCCTTTTTATGTAGCGGAGTCACGACAGATGTGCTCCACGGGTAGACACCAAATGACAGACATTGGTTGAATAGGTGCAACACAGCTGATTGCATGTTATTTCCCGATGATTTTAGGAACTCATTAGATATCATATCTTCGGACACTGCCTTATTTTTTTTAAGCGTCCTGATGTTGTTACACAGCTCTTCAGAAGAGATATCATGGTCGAGAATTTCCGTAATGCTTGATTGTGTGGTGTCTTTTACCATCTCGTTTTGTAGCCCTGTGATTTTTAGGTTGTCCATAGATGGTTTGCTGTAAAGATCTTTGAAGAATTTACAGAAATTGAACATATCAAACACGTCCAGCGTACTGTCTTTAGTTTTCATCTGTTTGAGTCTCTTGAATCTCCCCCAGTTGACATTTTTGCCTGACTCAATGTCTCTGCAGAGTTCTTCAATGAAGGCAGACCTCTTCGACTTGATGAGTTTCCTATAAGATCGACGCGTATCGTAGTACAATTCCCTGAGATATTGACTTGATGGGTTTTTCCCGTATGATTTAGCCAGCCTATTAAGCTCCCGTTTGCTGTTGATGCATGACCCATCAAACCATGGGGATTTTGGCTTCATCCGGTGCCTTTTGACTCTGTACTTACTTCCTGGTTTCGGTTTGGTTTGCGAGTTGGATTTTTTCGGCAAAACCGTGCCCGCTAATTCCTGGTACAGAGAGACGAGATTACTATTAAGTTCGAGTACGTCGTTTTTATTGTTGCAACGGGTTGCCGATATCCTGGTTATCTTCGTTTGGAATTCCGGAGAATTTTGAGCAGCCAGAAAGTTGAAGTGAGTCCCTTCGTCTTCGTTGTTCCATTTGTAAGTATGATTGAAAAGTTCTGACAAATCTTCAGCATGATTCATGTTCAGGAACCAAAGATATGACAAAATAATACGACAAAAATCAACGAATTTTGTCAAATTGCGCGACTTTTATACATAATTTTGCTTGCTAAAGCCGTGCACCATCAAATATGGCACCTAGGCGAAAGTTTCGCGAAACCAGGGGTGTAGGAATGATTTTCTTCATGGGGGGGCCAAATTCTAAATATTTTTTGGCGCTTCGCACCAAAGCCTTAATTTCGGGGGCCTCACGACAAATCGCGATTTTTTTCAGTTCTCCATGTCATATTGCGCATTTTCCTTTAAATCTGAGGACCAAATATCACGTTTTCTATAATTAGTATATGAAACCAATCAGTGTCACTTCCACAACCTTCCAAATGTAGGTACTTCAAAAAAACCGAAAAAAATATTTTCGGCTCAGAATGATCAGGGTAGTATAGCAACAAAAGTAGTTTCCAAGAAAACTTTGAAAATTTTTGACTTCGAAAATTTTCGGTCCGAGTCATTCTCGAAACGTACCTCTGAAAGCAGAGCTCCCGCTTCCGATCTCGTATTGCGAAGGGGAGGCCAGCCTTCCGAGATCCCATTACAAAGGGGAACCCTCGAGTCCAAATTCGTATATCGAACCTCGAAAACCGAAAAAAATATTGTTGGCTCATAATGATCAGGGTAGCATGAAACATGAACAAAAGTAGTTTCCAAGAAAACTTTGAAAATTTTTGACTTCGAAAATTTTCGGTCCGAGTCATTCTCGAAACGTACCTCTGAAAGCAGAGCTCCCGCTTCCGATCTCGTATTGTGAAGGGGAGGCCTGCCTTCCGAGATCCCATTACAAAGGGGAACCCTCGAGTCCAAATTCGTATATCGAACCTCGAAAACCGAACAAAATATTTTTGGCTCATAATGATCAGGGTAGCATGAAACATGAACAAAAGTAGTTTCCAAGAAAACTTTAAAAATTTTTGACTTAGAAAATTTTCGGTCCGAGTCATTCTCGATACGTACCTCTGAAAGCAGAGCTCCCGCTTCCGATCTCGTATTGCGAAGGGGAGGCCAGTCTTCCGAGATCCCATTACAAAGGGGAACCCTCGAGTCCAAATTCGTATATCGAACCTCGAAAACCGAAAAAAATATTGTTGGCTCATAATGATCAGGGTAGCATGAAACATGAACAAAAGTAGTTTCCAAGAAAACTTTGAAAATTTTTGACTTACAAAATTTTTGAGTTAAACATTTTTTGACTTGGAAAATTTTCGGGAAAATTGTTTTTCCAAAAATTTTTAGAAACCTAAATTAAAAAGTTGGCCCTTTTTGGCCCCTTGCCCAGATTTCATGGGGGGGCGATGGCCCCCCCTGCCCCCCCCGCTTCCTACACCCCTGGGCGAAACTCACTGATTATTCCAAAAAGGTATGACAAATTTGGTACTGTGAAAATTCTCACAGTCTCTAGAAAACAATGGTACAAAAATTTTGAAAATCCGAGCAAGTTTATTTTTATCGTGCACCCCCTAATTAAACCCACCTATCTCGTTCTCCAAAATCCACGTTTTTCTGCAAAAATCTCCATTCATAACCTTTCACTATTGCCTTTTTACAAAAGGGTGAAATGGAAAAAATCTCTTTGGGTTGCTTTCGAGTCGATACCTAGTTTTTTAGGATAAGGGCGGTAGTTAGTGTCCAGTTAGCTATTGTTTATTGAATCTTTATTGCAGAGTAGTGAGAGTACAGCTGCCTTCGGGTAGTTCTTCTTAATTTTAATAGATTAAGAAGAATTGTAATAGATTAAGAAGAATTGTAATAGATTAAGAAGAACTAGTATAGGTAGTATTTAGAGGTAAATAGTATAGTGGTAAATAGTGGTAAATAGTGGTAAATAGTGGTAAATAGTGTAGTAGTAATATGGGTGAATAGTATAGTGAGAATAATGGCGGCGGTCGTGCTTGCCAGCACTGTGATATCGCGTGATCGAGACAGTTTTTCGCCAATATCTTTCCAGGGGAGCATTTTAACCCTATGTCATGGGGGTGATTCGGAATCAGCGTCCGAAGATACATCGATTCAAGTTGGTTTCAACTGTCGGGTGGGGGCCGGGGGGGGGGGGGCCTTTTAGAAAAATCTTGAAGATCGAGTCTAGCACACTCGAGTTATAATCTATATTGAACAACCATTACATAACAGTGTTACACATCTCTTAATATAACTTATAGTGCTCTGATACGCACATGGGACACAATTCAGGAATAATAACTCCCACGTGACACAGGGATGACACCCACGTGTTGCATTTCGTCCCGCTCACAGCAACGCAATACTAGAACGTGTCACAAATATATTTCCACGTGCCGCATTATATATTCTCGTTCCTACAATTGGCACGACTTGTGGGTCATATATCAGTGACCTCATACTCTCTTTGTCACTCCGTTTTTTGTCTGTTTGTTGTTGTGTCTTTAGTTACATAAAAACAACTATAGCTGTACCATGTTTACATTGTAAATTCAGCGATTTAATGAATTGAGCAAATGGTCCGTGTTTGTGCGAGATCTTATCAGTACCGAGTCTTAATTGCAGTATATGTTAGCAGTTCTTAGTTCCGGGCTCGATCAGTTAATTATCTGTGCCGGCTAGTTATTTTATAGATACACATTGTATCGGGAATTGCACTAAAGCAGGTTTTTAGGAAACAAGGGCAGAAATAATGGAATAAATGGTCCATGGAATTGGAGGGGGTTCAACAAATATGTTCTTTTTTAAACGATTCCCGCAAGCAAACATTATTTAATTTTATTAGTTTAAATATAGATTATTACATCTATAACTGATCCTTAAACTAGGATTGTCAAATCGTATGGTGCGGTACTCTAAAAGTATAAACGACAATTATAAACAACAAGTGTGTCACAATTACTTTGCGATTCCGCAATTGCCTAAAATTTCTAAACGTGGGGTGATCAGCTCTAGTGCCAGGGGCTATTCCATGATCAAATAATTTATCGCAATAAAATGAACTTATACAATATTCTACTTTTTCTCCGATAACAAGTTGACATCAAGTCTTGAAAATTATTCGAGAAGACATCGAACGCTGTAAGAAGATGACGATCAGACCTCATTATTATACAATATTCGTAAAATAGCGATTATTATCATGGTAGACTACGTTACACATGAAGATGAAGATGAATCTCCATCTTATGAACAGGGAGCAGATACCTCTCAACAACAACAGTACCCTCAACAAGGGTACCCACCTCAATTTAATTTATTTACTGAGATAAAATAAAATTCTCATAAAATACATCGAAGTAGCGACTATTATGGCAGACTACAGTAAAGATCAGCCACCATCTCATAATGCACAGGGAGCATATCCCCCTCAACAACAACAGCACCCACCTCAACAAGGGTACCCACCTCAACAAGTTTGTCAGATTTGATTTTACATTTTCGTGGTTTTTAAGATATTCATCACCCATTTATGATTTAGTAGAAAGTAGATGTAGATTCTAGGGGGGATGTGTTTTTGAATTTGATTGATCAATGCTGGAAGGTCATTGGTTAATGGTTGTCACATGTCTGGAAAGATATTTTCACCTCCCCACGAGAATCCACATATAAATACCTCTATATAGACCTCGATTATGATACCCCACATTTCTCAATATTGGTCTCACATTTCTCATCCCCAGAAGGATACTTTTGTTAAAAACTTCCATCATTAATGACACAAGTGTATTTGTAACGAATCATTTTCAGTTTATCCTAGAGTTATTAATGTTTATTCTCAATTTCGATTGAATTTGAACTACTTCGATTTCCTCAGGTGTATCCCCCCGCTCAAGGTCAGCCCGGTCAGGGTTATGTTATTCAACAACATCCTCAACCTCAAGTTGTTGTGGTAGGTACATTTTTTTGAAAGTTTTCATTTTATTTTCCCATTTTACTGACACCACGACATTTGAATTTGATTGACGACGGATGCGAAGCAAGAATGCTAGTTGCGAAGCAAGAATGCTAGTTGCGAAGCAAGAATGCTAGTTCGCGCGGCGCGTCGAAGCGGCGAAGTCCTCCAACCACGACATCAATTTAAGATGTGTTCCTGCGAAAACCGTGAGAGATATAACATTATGAAACCTTCTTGGCTGGGTCGAATCCGTTTGTGCCTTTTTACCAACATGAAGAAATGATAATTGGCCTAGCAATATTCAATATTAAGAACTTAAGGTCCCAAAATTTGGACCAACATATTATTGTGGTGTTAAAATCGCAAAATAAAGAAATATTGGTGTCTCTTGACACCACCTTAGGTTAAGACGGGTCCCTGCTAGTAATTATAACTGAAATGTCTCATAATTGTTGTACTATAATTATATATTATATAATAATAATCTATAGTCAGTACTCTGGTTTCAATATGATATTCCTGCACTACGGAAAATACTGATGAGTGTAAGTTTTATCTTGATAGCGGTGATATTAAACTTCAATACACTATTGGAATCATCTTCAAAACATTTCCCGAACTCCCTCGCCAGGCACAGTAAAGCAACTTAATCAATAAGGTGACCGGACCGAATCACTACATGACTGAATCCCTAACGGACTGAATGAGAATCACTACCAATCACTATTGGTAGGGATTGAGGTATATTTTAGGACTGAATCACTACCGGACTGAATCACTACCGCTAATATCTAAACCTAACCACTTTGATGTGATCCCTACTGAACTTTGCAATAAAGGCATAATTATTCGTATTTCATTAGTTAATTATTTTATTTTTTGTTAATTATTATTAGATTTTTCGAGATAATTGACTAAGCAGAAATTTGGTCAAAGAATAATAGATAATATACTGATACAGTAATTTAAATCACACAATAATAAGTAAACATTAAAGCTCGTCTGACTAGTCGTGCCAAGGACTTGGGATCACAGTTGAGCCGGGACGAGGCTTCGAAGGATAGTCCAGCGACAGAGTCTGCAACAATCTGCTTAGTTGAGTTCTCAGTAGTAGCTGTGAGGGTCTTCATTTTAGACTTGGAGCGGTGGGCTGCAATTTCTGCTGGTTGAGATTCGTGGTCATGAGGGGTAGCAGAACAGAAGGTGTCCTGGACAAGGATCAGGCGGGACTTGCACTTGTTGCACTTCCAGTAGGTCTTGTCTTCCCTCTTTCTGTTAAGGTGGTAGAGGTGACCGTCGTAGAGGACGTTGTGGCTGCCTTTCTTTCTGCCAGGAATCAACTCGATGGATGAGGAAGACATAGTGGTATAAGATAAACACAGGCGTTGCGGGTTTATATATTATTCCCGCTAGCTGATTGTTTATTTCTGGTTCTAATATACCGTTACAATAATGACTTTAATGTATAACCTAGGTACAACAAGGAAACCAAGGAATCCCTCCACAAACAAACTGTACCATAGCCTGGATATCGTGTCTGTGTTTCTTTTGGCCGGTTGGACTGGTTGCTGTAGTGAAAGCTCACGAGGCAGAACAGTGTGTTGGACGAGGAGATTTCGAGGGAGCAAGAAGAAGTGGAGAGGTACGTACTTAACTATTTGAAATTTGAATCTAAATTAAGTTCCTTTGGCTAGGATCGATTATTGCTTTCCTTGTATAAAAATGCATTTAACTGTAGAACGGTTGGTGCGCAAACCTTTTCATAAAATATTTTCCCAGGCGGCTAAGAAATGGGCTATTGCTGCAATCATCACACAAGTAGTTCTAGGAGTTGTTCTAGGAGTTGTCGTGGTAATCATCTACGCTATCTCCATCGCTGCTGTTGATTCTGCTATTGATTCCGCTGTGTACGGTTATGATGGAAAGTAGCGTAAGTGTGAAATAGATATTTTGATTTTATATTATCAAGATATTTTGAATATTAATTTAATATACTTAATCTGATTGGTGAATACTTTCTCTCCGTTTTCAGGTGAACACCCAGATAATCAGATCTCTTAACAACTCTCTTTGGAGATGACTACTCCTTACAACCGTCCAAATCACATCAATTCTTTGAGCGGACTTTGGATTGTTGATTCTCGCATGTATATTGTAGGACAGACTAATTAGAAGAATTAATATTTTTATTCTTCTGTTTGCACGATCCCTAATTGCTGGACAGGGGACTGGAGAGTGGCAGGAATTAACAATTTCGTATTGCATGCATCCTGATATTGGTACCAATGTTCGTTTATATAAACATGCTACAAATACAATGTTCTAACAGTAACTGAGTCAAACCTCAGACTAATTGGTCGGTATCCTTTATATTACAGCAAAACTCCAAGCGCGGCGGGGTTTTACTGTATAAAATATAAATTGTCAAATTACGAATCTCGCTCTATCCTTTAAACTTTTAAATGTGGAACCAAGGAGAGCCCACTGAAAATATCTTTACTGTTGCTTGTAATGTTTTAAACTATAATGTGTAATGCACTTTCCAATCTAGTGCAGTATATTTTTTCTGATGACTGGATAACTGCATACAAATTATAATTTGGATTTCACTGTAAACGGGGCTCAAACTCCCAGTTTTATATTGTTGGTGCTATTACGTGACTTTGTGTGAATCGAGATTTATAATGTGTCATTCAATGCATAATAATTGAAATTTAAACCACACAGTTCATGTTCAGAGTATAAAGTATATTAATATTAACGAAGAATTAGAGTTATGATGTTGAGTTACGATATTTTAAAACTTTGAATATGATAAAATATATAATAAATAGTAGAGCAGTAGTTTACATTTAATATACGGTAGCTTTACATTATACTGTAATTAGATGGTACTGACCAGATTTTCATTTAAATAGGTCCGAATATTTATAGATATGTAATTGTAAATGTCGCCATCTTTAATTCAGAAAAGAAAATTTTTACCGTGAAGAAGTCATATCTCTGAAATTATTCGTTTTCATATCGTAAGACTAAGATAGTAAGATGACGCAGTGAAACGATCGGAATTCGGACTACGATGTATGGGGACTTGTCACCCATGGCAACATTAAAATATATATGATACAGAGTCAATATATTGACTCTGTTACATTGTTTCCTGTTAATATAAAACTCCGTTACAAATTGAACTGGGATCTGGCATGCTACACCTTAGATCAATAGAATATGATGAAGTGATGTATAACTAGACTTAAGTAAAAGTCTACTGATTGATTAAAGCTTAATAATGAACTGTGAAAGAGTGGTTAATAGATTAAGAAGAACTAGTATATATACTAGTTCTATATATAGTATTTAGAGGTAAATAGTATAGTGAATATAATGGCGGCGGTCGTGCTTGCCAGCACTGTGATATCGCGTGATTGAGACAGTTTTTTCGCCAATATTTTGCCAGGGGAGCATGATTCAGAATCAGCGTCCGAAGATACATCGATTCAAGTTGGTTTTAACTGTCGGGGGGGGGGGGGGGGGGGGGCTTTAGAAAAACTTTGAAGATCGAGTGTAGCACCCTTGAGTTATAATCTATATTGAACATTGAACAACCATTACATAACAGTGTTACACATCTCTTAATATAACTTATAGTGCTCTGATACGCACATGGGACACAATTCAGGAATAATAACTCCCACGTGACACAGGGATGACTCCCACGTGTTGCATTTCGTCCCGCTCACAGCAACGCAATACTAGAACGTGTCACAAATATATTTGCACGTGCCGCATTATATATTCTCGTTCCTACAATGCGCACGACTTGTGGGTCATATATCAGTGACCTCATACTCTCTTTGTCACTCCGTTCGCGTTTTTTGTATGTTTGTTGTTGTGTCTTTAGTTACATAAAAACAACTATAGTTGTACCATGTTTAGATTTTTAATTCAGTGATTTAATGAATTGAGCACATGGTCCGTGTTTGTGCGAGATCTTATCAGTACCGAGTCTTAACTGCAGTATATGTTAGCAGTTCTGAGTTCCGGACTCGATCAGTTAATTATCTGCGCCGGCTAGTTATTTTATAGATACACGTTGTATCGGGAATTGCACTAAAGCAGGTTTTTAGGAAACAAGGGCAGAAATAATGGAATAAATGGTCCATGGAGGGGGTTCTACAAATATGTTCTTTTTTTTAAACGATTCCCGCGAGCAAACATTATTTAATGTTATTAGTTTAAAATATAGATTTTTACATCTATAACTGATC